GTGTGGCCCCCATTCTGTCCAGAGGGCCAAACAATAGGTTAATACCAAAAAAAAAAGCTTGCATTTAGTCGTACATGACCGCAATGCACGGCACAGCATGAAGATGAATGATTATAGAACCATATATTACAATGCAGGAGCCCTCTGGATTTCTGGCAGGTCAGCAGGTATTTTGCTGTACTTGCAGCATTTTAGAGGGATAAAACAATAAAACATAGAGAACGTGCAATTTCTTATGAAACAAACATTCTAATATAATAAAAACAGTGTGTGTAATTTTTTTTTGGAATACATTAATTGGGTATATTTTATTTCTATCCTCCATGTCTTGCAGCGGATTTAGTGTTAGGCTCTATGCATACCAGTGAGGAGTGTGTCCCCTCAGGGATGATCCCTATAGATCCCACGTGAGGTGTGCAGTACCTGCTGTAGGGCTCTGGGGATGATTCCTCGCTGTTTGAAGTTCTCTGTTGTCCCGGTGATTGTGTGCGTCTTTCCTGCCCCTGTCTGTCCGTAGCACATTATTGTACCTGGAAGCAAAAGCACAAGTCAGATGTTCCCTGCGCACCATGTGGTCGGGGGATAAAGCAATTCATTGGTTAGTGGGGGACACGCACTAAAAAGGACAAATAATATTGAACTAGCATAAACTAATAAGAAATATATTTTACTGTTTAAAGGGAAATTACATTTTGGCAGAAAAAAAAAAAAAAAGATATAAATTAAAGGGCTGATTTATAATTTCACACCACACTACCTCCACTAGATGGCGCTGAGAAGCACAGGAACACCTGGGCGGCCCCCTTAGATTTAGGGTTCACCATCTCCTCCTAAATATAGGCAGCGCCATCTTTGAAATTGATTGGACCCTGGGCAAATATTTTCCTGCCCCCACTTGTATAGCTTCTTTCTAGCTTGCACGGGAATGACAGCGGAGGAGCTGGAGGTGACGCAATCAGCATAGCTTTCGGCTCCATTCAGTAGGGAGGAGATTGGTGAACGGATGTTCGCTGGTCTCTCTCCCCTCTACCCGCTCACACCTGTGATGCCGGTCCCAGGCCCACAGAAGGGGCAGCAGAGCCCAGGAAGCAAGGCAGGGGTGTTTTCATTCTTCAAGGCCCATCGAAGCCTAAACCCTCTGCCCTTTCCTGCTCTGCAGCCACATCTTTGGTGCTATAGTATATTTAGCTTCTAGTGTGTTCCTTTAACTTTAACCACTTTAGGACCATCAGATGTACCTGTACATATTGCACTTTAAATGGCTATACCAAGAATCATGGCTATGATCTCGGCATCATCTATTACAGCAGGTGGAGAGCTTTAAGTACGAGTCAACCAATGATGCTGTGTGGCTCAGCCACCAGTCAACCAATGATGCTGTGTGGCTCAGCTACCAGTCAACCAATGATGCTGTGTGGCTCAGCTTTCAGTCAACCAATGATGCTGTGTGGCTCAGCTACCAGTCAACCAATGATGCTGTGTGGCTCAGCTACTAGTCAACCATTGACATTGGAGTGATTGGAGCAGATAGGTCTTTGGCACATGTGGGAATGGACACTTTTTGTAAAGTCTGATTAGGAACAATCGTGCATGCCCTTCTATTGTAGACTTGGGCTGTCAATCAAAGGATGTTGTTTGCTTGGGGGTTAAGCGACACCAAGGATTGCATGGCGTCAGTGAATGTAGCCAGAGGATACAAATGCTGACTGCAGGCACCCATGGTTGGTAAAGTGATGCTTTAAAGTGTCAGCTGACCCAACAGAGATTCAGGCCTGGCATTGCTAATTGGTCTTGGTTTTATTTGTTTGGACATTTGCTGAACCTAGCCAAAAATCCAAGGTCCAAACATCCAACTGAAATAAACCTGTGTCCTAGCAACCAATGATGCTGTGTAGCTCAGGCACCAGCCAACCAATGACACTCGGCGGCTCAGGCACCAGCCAACCAATGACACTCGGCGGCTCAGGCACCACCAAACCAATGACACTGTGCGGCTCAGCCACCCATCAACCAATGACACTGTGCGGCTCAGGCACCAGTCAACCAATGACACTGTGCGGCTCAGGCACCAGCCAACTAATGACACCGTGCGGCTCAGCCACCAGCCAACCAATGACACTGTGCGGCTCAGGCACCAGCCAACCAATGACCCTCGGCGGCTCAGGCACCACCAAACCAATGACACTGTGCGGCTCAAGCACCAGCCAACCAATGACACTGTGCGGCTCAGGCACCAGCCAACCAATGACACTGTGCGGCTCAGGCACCACCAAACCAATGACACTGTGCGGCTCAGGCACCAGCCAACCAATGACACTGTGCGGCTCAGGCACCACCAAACCAATGACACTGTGCGGCTCAGGCACCAGCCAACCAATGACACTGTGCGGTTCAGGCACCAGCCAACCAATGACGCTGTGCGGCTCAGCCACCAGCCAACCAATGACAATGTGCGGCTCAGCCACCAATCAAGATGTAAACAGCTTGGGTGCGGGTTGAACTCATGGTCGACCCGACACTCGAAGCCCATTCCTACTGATCACTATTTGTAATATCCAAACACACCAGCTGGTCATTTTGTGGTATTTCATACGGACAGTCATGTGATCTAGGCTCGTTTAGTGCGTTGGTACCGATGCTCTTTAACTCACCATTATAACCTTGCAAGGCTTTGGACACAACCGACTTCGCCACGGTGTCATACATGGCCTCCTGGGGGGCATTGTGCAGGATCCCGTCCATTTTAAATGACCAATCATATTGCTTGTTATTGACCACTCCCAGCTTCTTGTCCTTCTTCAGGTGGATGTCGATGCTCTGAATGGACAGATGGACGGGATTACCGTTATTGATTGTTATAATCAGAAGATGAAACATCATCATTTATAATAATTTGATGCTTTTCATTCCAGCCGGCGATATCCGGAGTCACAGTACATGTAATACGGATATTATGATCCAGGGAATAAATCTGACTGTCTTTATGGAGTCAGGTGTGTGTGTGCGTGTGTATATACATACATATGCAGGGCTTGAAAAATCCAATCGCCCGCTGGTCTGTGACGAGAGGACGGCGGAGCCCGACGAGCAGCTTCCCAGCCAGCCGTTGTAATTACACGGCCGGCCGGGAGCTTTACAGTCTAGAGACGCCCGATCGCTTGTATTACCAGCAGCTGTCACCTGCCGTTGCCGGTCCCGAGATTCGCTGTGCCCGATGCGGCGGGACCGGCACGGCTCTGTGACAGGAGATCAAAGGGAGATCAGGACAGGATCTCTCCTCTCCAGTCCCGGAATGCAGGAAGTGATGTATATTACATCACTTCCTGCATTCAGTGTCACTTTCCAGCTACAGAAGCTGATGAAGCAGATCTCTGGCTTCATCAGCTTCTCTGGGGGTCCCTAGGTGACATTAGGGATCTTGGAGACCCCTGATGTCTCCATAAAGAGGACCTGTCATGTAATGAGGTAAGAGGACCCCATGTGATAGCAATAAAGATGTGTAAAAAAAACTGGGGGGTTATTTTTTACTATATAATGAAAAAAGTAACGTAAATTTTGAATAAATGTTTTTCCCCCCCTCTGTTCTGTAATAAAACATCTATTCTTACCCATATTTTTGGTAAAACATAAAAGATGGGGTCACGTCAGGTAAATAGACACCAAACATGTCAAGCCATTAAATGGCGTGCGCCCGCAAAATCATTAATTGCAAGGCTATAGTCCGGTCATGTTGACTGGTGACATTTTTGACTGACTGGTGAGACACCCGAAAATTTCTCAAGCCCTGTACATATATGTGTATATATATCGCGGTGGGTCGGACCCGGACAAACACCCGCACGTCACTGCTCCCCGAACTCATGGTCACCTTCTGAGGAGACAGACAACAGTCAGCTACAATATACAACAGAGAAATACTGAGGGGGGTTATTCACCAAGGAGCCGAAGGATATAGCAGCAGCTACGGCTAATCCTTTGGCTCACTTTGGCCACCGTAGCCATTCACCATAGCCCACACACCAGCCGAACAGCTCAGCCGAGCCAAACTCATATGCTGAGCTGAACACACAGCAGAAGAGAACGGTCAGAACGGTCACAGCACGGGAGAACGGTCAGCCGAAGCAAATGTAAACAAATAATAAAAATGAAAAAACGGCGTGGGGTCCTCCTCCCGATCCATACCAGACCCTTTCAGGTCTGGTAGGAAAATTAGGAGGGACCCCCCAAAAGCTATACCAGGCCCTTAAAGTAAGGGGGAACTCCACCACCGAAAAAATTGGGAAAAAAAGACGTGGGGTCCCCCCTAAAATTCCCAACCAGACCCTTATCCGAGCACAGGCCTGCCAGGGCAGGAAAAGGTGGAGGGGGAGACAAGGGGCAGACTCCCCTCCTCTCCGCTGCTGTCCCCTGCAGACTCCCCTCCTCTCCGCTGCTGTCCCCTGCAGACTACCCGGTTCTCATCCCCGTCCTCTCTTCACTAACCTGGGACAAACCTGCAGCCGGCGTCAGAACCCTTAATATGCACGTGCAGATAGGCAAGGACTAGGATGACAGCCCCGGAGCCTGCTCCTTTAATAACAGTACAGCAATGTCAGCTCTCATATAGACAGGTTCACTTTAAAGTTCTGACTCTGCTTTGGATGGAGAGGGGGAGGGCTACAGCCTCTGTTGGGTTTTTATTCAACATTGTGTGACCAGTTTGGAGAATTTCTCTCACTTCCTGTCAGAAAAGGAACTCCTCAATTGGGTCAGATTCAGGGGAGTAGGGAAAAGATAGAGCCTCTCCCATTTGTGCCCTTACTGGGTGGATTTCAGGACAGGAAGTGATCAGAAATCTCTG